GTACGCAGCCTTTGTTCTCTGGATTCCCCAGGGGAGGGACGGATAAATCCTTGCGGAAATAATCCGGGGAATCCGGGGATCGAACCCACGACCTTTGAGTTAAGAAACCGATGCTCTACCACCTGAGCTATTCCCCCCCCTGTGGAGGTGCCATGAGCTAGACATAAAAGTCAAATTGTTTTATGTCAACCGATGCAGTTAACCCCGGAAATTTAGCATTCTTTAGAATTATTGTCGGTGTTGTTTCGAGGGAATAGCTCCATGGACAGGGATGTTGGCACCTACCTAACGTAGTATAACGTTACATTCTGCCAACTCAGGTACTGTAGTTGCACTATTAATACAGTAGGCGATAAAATGTGCCTTGACATGGCAAGAACATGAAGCCGAACAAGCCATTACACCACTCCCCTATATTGGTCCGAGAATTCCATCCAACTTCCTATCACACCATCACTCAAACCCTGTCGAGGGCGTTTTGGTAATCCACAATCCCTTTCGTCATATTCATTTCGCCATGAAGGTCTCCCTCCTCAGTGCCATTGCCCTCTTCGCGGCGGCGGCTACCGCCCAAACCAACAACACCATTGCGGGCATCAACGGTCGCGCTCGAACGTTGGAGGAGGTTTACGAAGTAGACGATGGCGAGTTGAACCGCGAGCATCACAAACAAAACGGCAACTACATCCCGTCCCTCAAGGCCGGACAGTACTCGACCAGTGCGTTCCACAACTGCTTCCGCCATCGACCAAATCTACGAGTTCACCGATGCGTTGGTCGCCCAAAACCCGACGTTGCTGAGCAAGATTGCCATCTCCAAGACGTACAATGGGGTCACGATTTACGGGTACAAGTTGACCAAAGGCCACTCACAGTCTTTGTACTTTCAAGCCCAGCCGCACGCCCGCGAATGGATCGCAGGGGCGTGGATTCTGATCTCGTTGGCGTCGATTCTGGATGACATTACCAACAAGAAACCCACGGCCGCCGACTACTACGACTTGTACTTTGTGTCCATCGTCAACTTTGACGGCTTCGAAAACACGTGGAACGGCTTCTTGAGCCGGGACCAGCGCAAGAATGCCAATGGTGTCGACTTGAACCGCAACTGGCTGACCAAGTTTCCCAACCCCGAAATCATTCACCCAGACGACGACACGTACCCCGGACTTAAGCCGTTCAGTGAGCCTGAAACCGCGGGCATCAATGATTGGTTCAAAACCAAGCGCAATGAAATCCAAGGGTTTATTGACGTTCACTCGTACATGTACCCGGGGCTCATCTTGTACCCGTACGCAGACAATGACCAGCCCATCGGCGGGGGGTTTGACGAGAAGTTCGACGTCCTCGGCCGTGGATTGGAAAGCGTCCTGGGAGAGTACACCGTTATACCGTTGGCCAAAAACTTATCCCCGTCGTATGGATTGTTTCAAGATTACGCGTTCCGTGAGTTCAAAAAGCCTGCACTGACGTTTGAAATTGTTGGCGATGATTTTGTCGTGGACGTGACGACCATCAAGACACACGGCCTCGAAGTGTACAAAGGCATCAACCAATTCGCCAAGGAAGTCACCGTGTTCAACGGCTGAGACGTCACGTCCACCAAGCCGTTGTGTGGAGATTAGGTGCCATGAGCTCGACATAAAAGTCAAATTGTTTTATGTCAGTGGTACTATCTGCGGTTCGTGGTTTTCACAGTGTAGCATGGTGACGCAGAAACGTTACGAAAATACTCTGTAAGGTTATTCCTAGGCAACCTAAAAGGCTTCGAGGTTGTCCACTCGACTTGGGCGATAAAATGTGCCATGACATGGCAAGAACATGGTCACAATACCCTCATTGAAACAGTTCCACTGTTGATTTGACCCGAAATACTGTTTCAATGAGGTTTATATGGAACTTTGCATGCTCATCCTCAGCTCTTACGAGGGGTTAAGTGCATCTCAGGGATAGGTAACCACTAGCGATGGAATTAACCCCGGAAATTTAGCATCGTATGTACTCACCGGGGGTAGGACGGTGTTGCAGGGCTACGGGCGAAAAGGTGTATCCGGATGTATAATTCCCTCATTAAAATAGTATTTCGGGTCAAATCAATAGTGGATCTGTGTTAATGAAGGAATTATTCCAAGAACATGAAGCCGAACAAGCCATTACACCCTCAATTAAAGCTTAAAAATATACCAGATGTATATAAAATACTTCAAAATAATTATAAATATTAATATGTAATAGCTGGATCGAACGGCGGCCTTGTACTCTAATTCCAGGATGACACGGACAGTGGCTTGGTTGTTGCCTTGAGCTCGAGGTAGCGCGTACACTTGGTTGCCCTCCGTCAACATCTTGATCGCAGGCATCTTGTCATCTCTCATCTCGTTTGGGCTCATAACATGTCGAGCTAGGACAAACAGGGCAGAGGGGAACGAGAGGCTGTGAAGCCAATTGAGAAGATTTCTTGGAGTAGATTACTGGTTGTTAAGGCTCTGATCTCTGTGTACATGAATGGCTCACATAACGTTAGCTTCCTGTGACTATTTTCTTAACTCGATGTGGAGTTCTCCAACATGTAATATCTACTAGTAAAGCAATCTAGTATGTCTTTTTACCATGAACACACGAAATATATCGAATGTTCGGCAAACATATAGGTGGCATCCGAAATCAAACCGACAAATTTGAAGTCGGTGATTGGATAACCGACAAATTATTGAATTTTGATTGGTCGTTTATATTTTAGACAATCCGATTGGGCGATGTGGTTGTTGTGTGAGCAACATACAGGTATCGCTCACATTGAACATATACAGCTTGCTATTGGCTGAAAACACAGTCATATCGACATTGATGGATTACTGTACCTGGAAACTATGGGAAAACGTTCAATAAATCTGGATACCGTTCAGCCAAGACTGAAAGCCCTTCAAGCAAAATTTTTTCCCGTAAGCCTGAAACCCCGGGACTTCGTCCTACCCCCGCGTGCACATACTTCGAATGCTTAACCCCTAGTAAGACTTGAGGTAGTCAGAGTTTCACAGCATCAAGAACCCTGTCGAGAGCGTTTTGGTAGCCCACAATCCCTTTCCTCATTATTCATTCCGCCATGAAGTTCTCCCTCCTCGGTGCCATTGCCCTCTTCGCGGCGGCGGCTATCGGCCAAACCAACAACACCATTGCGGACATCAACGGTCGCACTCGAACGTTGCAGGAGGATTACGAAGTAGACGATGGCGAGTTGAACCGCGAGTGCCACACCCGATGCGTGGAGCAAAGCCCGCCGCGAGTTGTTGCAACGCATTAAGTTGGCGCATCCAAGTGATTCGGAGCAACGATGACCCCGACGTGGCCAGCCGACTTCAACTGTCCTACATTAGGCAGTATGGGGTTGGTGGTGTTTCGGAGTATGCAGACCGCATCGGGGGGCAATCTGACATACACGTCACGTGTCAAACAGAGGCTGTTGGATGTTCCTGCGAGGTGGAGCTAACTGCTTTCAAGCCAACGTGTCAAAGACCACAGTGTTACTGAGTTTAGATGCGCAACTTAGTCTTAGCATAGTTGCAAGGTTTCTACCGGAGCCATTCCTACTTTCAGTGGACCCCACAAGCACACACACTGATTCCCATCTTCAAAATACCGAAACCCGATCTATTGGAGATAGAAGAGTATTAAAAACGCATACTACAAACAGAAAATGTCTGAAAACTATGCAAGGCTTAACTACGACGACAAATATGTAGTAACTTGCAATTAACTCCGACAGCAAAGTTAAACAGAGGGGGGGGGAATAGCTCAGGTGGTAGAGCATCGGTTTCTTAACTCAAAGGTCGTGGGTTCGATCCCCGGATTCCCCGGATTATTTCCGCAAGGATTTATCCGTCCCTCCCCTGGGGAATCCAGAGAACAAGTGCCGCGTACGAAGACGAGGACCGAACTTCGAAGAAGATCGGTCGAAGCACGAGGTATGAAGCGTTGAGCGAAGTAAAAAAACCGAAGATTACACACCGCCCCTGGTCGAGCAGGCGCGTTACAATTGGCGAAGCGGTTCCGTAATATGTGGTTCTAGTATCGGCCCTCGCGGAGGAATGTCTAAAAATTAAAACGTTAATCCAAAACTCAATTCATCATGTTACTACACCGCTTTTCACTTAACGTTCAGGATATTTCCGGTATATTTCATCCGACGCATATTTCCGTTATGTATGGACGACAATTCTATCCGACATTAGTCTTATTGGTTAAAAGTTCAATACTTTGTACCTTTCATTGGTAGATGACTCTTCATTTTCAATACAAAGACCAAATGTCATATGTTGGTTTTTTTCAAGTCTCTGACGAGGTGAGGACATGAACC